GCCGCGGCCGTTCCCCCTCCCCGAGTAGACGCTCGCCGCCGTCCGGATCCAAGGTGAGGAAACGCGAGCACGGGTCTCCATGCCCTGTTCGTCCCGCGAATCCTTCCCAGACTCGCGATAGGATCGATGTGCCCCTCGCATCCCAATCTCAGATCTGCGGCCTCGTGCTTTCGAAATAGAGATATCTGTGAATCCGCTTGTCCTGCCGCGTAGTTCTGTTGTTCTTCCTGATGACACGGGCATTGGGCGCTGTTTTGCGCCGTAGCTAATAATGTTCGTAGTTGTCGGGACCAAGCTAGTACTAATCTGTTTTGTTCTTCTTCTGGAACCTAGCCGAAGACGGTTCTGTGCTGCGTATGTGCACGTACGGCTGGTTTGATTTCTGAGCACAGAGAGTTCTGCTTGCTTCTTTGATTTCTATGCACAGATAGTACTACCTGCTTGCACTTAGTTCTAACCCAAGTGGTCAATGTTGCTGGGTTCTTAATTAGTTAGGTGTGTTAACGTAGGTGCATACTACTGCTAGTTATTTTCATTAGTCTGCTCAGTTATCTAAACCTGGTAATAATCTGCTTTCGTTTTCATCATGCCAATCAACCCGAAAATTCTATGGGCCAAATCTACCTGCTAGTGTGTTAATTATCTACATGATCGTTTCATCATTTGTAGCTAAAGCAGCATGTAATTGGATCCTTATTGTTAAACAGCATGTAAAGAATCTCTCAAGGCTTCAGTGGTATTCAGGGCATTTATGCTCCACAGTTCAGTCAGACAGCTAGTTACCAAATGGCTTTACTGCTTTCTCATAGCACACAGCCCACAGCTATTACTTTCCTGCTGAGGCACAGCTGAAGCAAACACGGCCGTAGTAACATTACACATTATTATTTTTCTTGTTTTGGGTTGAAGTGCCGTTATGTTGTAACTGCCACTTGTGTCATTGATTTCTTATGTAAAACAATCACTTTGAGGGAAATGCTTATCTTTACCAATTGACGATGTTGTCTGTCAACTGTAGACTTAACCATGTTTTGCTAATTGGTGTTTTGTTGTATCCTTGGTGATACTAGTGTTGGGTGCCCTCAGGGACAGGCCCTTCAATTGCTCCACTAATTTCATTGTTTATACTTATTAATAGTCCATTACTTTCTGTAATTTGGGATCATGCTAATTCCTACACTTGTTGATTTACCAGCAGGTTATTGTGTGAAGTGCCACGTGTCCACATGGCTTCAGCGGCGCCAGATTTCCAGCCCCGGACATTCTCCATCAAACTGTGGCCACCGAGTGAAAGCACTCGTCTGATGCTTGTAGAGAGGATGACCAAGAACCTGTCCTCCGAGTCAATCTTTTCTCGCAAGTATGGCCTTTTGGGCAAAGAAGAGGCTCATGCCAATGCCAAAAGGATTGAGGAGATGTGCTTTGCTTCCGCAGATGAGCATTTCAAGAAGGAGCCTGATGGTGATGGGAGTTCTGCTGTCCAGCTATATGCAAAAGAAACAAGCAAGCTGATGCTGGAAGTCCTCAAAAAAGGTCCAGGGACGACTGCGGAACCAGAAGCACCTGTTATTGATACACCTATTGAGCCTGCTGATACTGTGTTTGATATATCTGGTGGCAAGCGTGCTTTCATTGAGGCGGACGAAGCAAAGGAACTTCTGAGTCCACTAACAGAACCAGGAAACTCATATAGCAGAATTTGCTTGAGCAACAGGAGCTTTGGTATTGGTGCTGCCAATGTTGCTGGGCCAATTCTTGAATCAATAAAATCTCAGCTCAAGGAGGTTGACATCTCAGATTTTGTTGCTGGAAGGCCTGAGGATGAAGCCCTTGATGTGATGCGGATATTCTCCAAAGCTTTAGCAGGGTCTGTACTGAGATACCTGAACATCTCTGACAATGCTTTAGGTGAGAAGGGTGTGAGGGCGTTCACAGAGCTGCTAAAATCACAGGGCGACCTGGAAGAACTATATGTGATGAACGATGGCATATCAGGGGAAGCTGCTAAGGCTCTGTCTGAGCTTATTCCATCAACTGAGAAGCTTAAGGTTCTCCACTTCCACAACAATATGACTGGTGATGAAGGTGCTATGTTCATTGCTGAGATGGTCAAGCGTTCTCCAAATCTTGAGAGTTTTAGGTGCTCAGCAACAAGAATAGGATCTGATGGTGGAGTGGCATTGGCCGAGGCCCTGGGGACATGCACTCGTCTGAAGAAGCTTGATATCAGGGACAACTTATTT